GAGAAAAACATCTATGTGAGAGAGAAGCATTGGTCTGCTGCCTCCTGCACACTCCCTACTGAAGACAAAGCCTGCAACATGGGCATGTGCCCTGGCTGGGAATCGAACCGTGATCTCCTGGTTCATGGGTTGATGCTCAACCAACTGAGCCACACCGGCCAGGGCCCTCCTAAAATTTTTAACAATTACAGATCTCACTATCAACCCAACTGACATGTTTGGAGTGATTCTGGATTCCTCCCTCTTCCAAACCCACTCCATGCAACTAATTACTGCTTCCAACTTTTTTCTCAAATTCCTCTACTTCTCTGCATGCCCTCTGCGCCTGCCCTGGTCCAAGCCATGATCACCCTTCCCCTGGATCATTAGAAGAGACTCCCAACTTGGTCTCCCTGCTGCCTCTCTCAATCCTCTTCTAACCCATTCTCCACACGGCAGCCAGAGAGGGAGCAATTAACACACAATCTGAGCCCTGGCTGCTGTGGCTCAGTTGGTTAGAATGTTGTCCAGGACACCGAAAGGTTGTGGGCAACCGATCAATGTTTCTCTCATATGTCAGTGTTTCTCTCTCTCTCTCTCTCTCTCTCTCTCTCTGTTGTCCAGGACACTGAAAGGTTGTGGGCAACCGATCAATGTTTCTCTCATATGTCAGTGTTTCTCTCTCTCTCTCTCTCTCTCTCTCTCTCTCTCTCTCTCTCTCTCTCTTCCTGTCTCGATCTCTCTTCTATTCCTTCTCTCTCTAAAGCAATAAAAACATATCCTCTGGTGAGGAATGTAAAAAAACATAAATCAATTCACTCCCCTGCTTAAAGCCTTCACAGGTTTCCCATTATATTCTCCTGCGACTGGAGCAGTTCACCTCCTTCCCTAGATTCTGTATCTCTGCCTGGGATGCCCTTCCCCTCTGCTCCTAACTGGCTCCTTCATATCCTGTAAGTCAAGGGTGTTCCTTAGGTAGCAGGCCTTCTCTGGACATCCCCGAACTGGGCGCTCCCTTCCCGTTTCTCCCGCGCAGCACCCTGCTCAGTGCCTTCCCGGTTGGAACGAGCTATTTTCACTGTTTCCCTGCAGGAGACAAGAAACTAAAGGAGAAAGAAATATGCACCCGTGTCTTCTCAGAGTGCAGCACGGCCCTGGCACACAGTAGGCACTAAATAAATATTTAATGAGCACGGTGATTCGCCATGAGTAGATTCTCTACCTGGGCTGAGGGACACCCCCCCCCCTCACAGTTCATGAATTTCATGCACCGGGCCTCTAGTCCAGTGATGGTGAACCTATGACACGCGTGTCAGAGGTGACACGCGAACTCATTTTTTTTGGTTGATTTTTCTTTGTTAAATGGCATTTAAATATATAAAATAAATATCAAAAATATAAGTCTTTGTTTTACTATGGTTGCAAATATCAAAAAAATTTCTATATGTGACACGGCACCAGAGTTAAGTTAGGGTTTTTCAAAATGCTGACACGCCGAGCTCAGAAGGTTCGCCATCACTGGCCTAGGAGGATGATAGTAGCTGCCATTTACTGCGTCCAGTCTATGCAATGGCAAGCGCTGCACATTTTGATTTCTAACAACAACCCAATGAGGGGGCCCTGTATTTCCATTTTACAAATTAAAACCTCGACTCCATTTATTTATCATGTTTGACGTTTAGTCTTGAATTGCTTATTGTACTCTGAAATCATGGAACTCCTCGAGTTGAGTGAGATGAACTCAATCCCGTTTACCTGATGAGGCAGGTGAGGCCCAGAGAAGGAAAGCCTAGCTCTCTTGGTGGGGGATCTGGGCCTGGCCCCCACTAACGGTAAAACAAAAGAGTTTACAAGCGTCAGGAGTGCAAGCTACCCGCTCTAGTGTTCTCCCTGCAGGCAGCAGCGTGTTGTCAGTCACAGAGAGACAAATACCGTACGACTTCACTCATATGTGGAATCTAAAAAGAAAACAAGCAGACCAAGCCAAACAGAAACAGAGATTCATAGAGACAGAGAATAAACTGGTGCTTGCCAGAGGGGAGGGGGGAAGGGCAAACAAGGTGAAGAGGATTGAGAGGAACAAACTTAGTTATCACATAAATAAGTCACAGTGATGTCATGTACAGCACAGGGAGTACAGTGAATTATAATGATTAATGTTGTACGGTGACAGATGGTTACTAGACTTACTTCATAAAGTGTAAGAATGTTGAATCGCTTTGTTGTATACCTGAACTAATATAATATTATATGTCAACAATATACTTTAATTTTTTTAAAGCAGCGGCCTGTTGTAATCCTTGAAGTCTTATTATTTAGCTCTTTAGTTATGAAGCACCTCATGTATGCGAGGCTCTGTTCTTGACTCTGGAAATACAGCAGAGAACAAGAGAGACTAGGTTCCTGCCCTCATGCAGCTTACAATCCAGTGGTGGGAGAACGGCAGTGAACAAGTAAATAAATGAACAGGATAATTTCAGACAGAAACAAGTGCTACCAAGGACTGTAAAATGGGTGAAGGGATACACAGTGAGGGGAGAGAACAGCTACTTTAAATAAGGTTCCTGAGAAGGTGACTTTGAGCTGAAACCTGAAAAATGAAGAGCCATCCTTGAGAAGAGCCATGGAAAGAATTTCCCGCACAAACGGAACAGCGAGTGCCAAGGCCCTGAGGCCAACTCAAGCCAGGCAGTCAAGAACAGGAAGGGGTGAGTGGATGGACGCAATGGAAAGGTGGAGAGGATGGTACAAGAGGAGGTTGGAGAGACAGCTGGGACCCGTCACTTAGGGTTCTTGAAGTGTTTGGATTTTATTCGTCAAGTTTTAACCAAGAGAATTGCCAAAGTCGGTTTGGCTCAGCCGATAGAGCGTCGGCCTGCTGACTGAAGGGTCCCAGGTTCGATTCCGGTCGAGGGCATGTACTTGGGTTGCGGGCACATCCCCAGTGGGGGATGTGCAGGAGGCAGCTGATTGATGTTTCTCTCTCATCGATGTTTCTAACTCTCTGTCTCTCTCCCTTCCTCTCTGTGAAAAATCAATAAAATATATTTTTAAAAAATAAATAAATAAAAGTTTTAACCAAGAGAATAAACATGAACCAGTTTATGATATTAAAAGAGCACCTGTGCGGATTAAAGAAGGTGAGTTTTTCAAATAAGGAGACCAGTCAGATGGCTGTTGCAATGCACTGGTGGCTTATATTAGGATGGTGGTCGTGGAGGAATAAGGATATATTTTGGAGATAGAACAATCAACAGTACTTATTGATAGCATGAAGGTAGAAAAGGTTGAAGGAAAGAGTTCAAGGAAGACTTTCACTTCTATGTAGTGGAATACAAATTTAGAAATATAATGCCCTGGCTTTGTAGCTCAGTTGGTTAGAGCATGGGCCGGATACAGCATGTTTGTGGGTTTGATCCCCAGTCAGCACACATGCAAGAGTCAACCAATGAATGCATGGAAGGGCAGAGTGGCAAGTTGGTGCTTCTCTCTCTCAAATCAATCAATTAATAAATACATTTAAAAAAATATTTTTTTGCCCTGATCGGTTTGGCTCAGTGGATAGAGCGTCAGCCTGCGGACTGGAGGGTCCCAGGTTCGATTCCGGTCAAGGGGCATATACATTGGTTGCGGGCACATCCCCAGTGGGAGGTGTGCAGGAGGCAGCTGATCGATGTTATATATATATTTTTATTGATTTCAGAGAGGAAGGGAGAGAGAGAGAAAGAGAGATAGAAACATCAATGATGAGAGAGAATCATTGATTGGCTGCCTCCTGCATGCCCCCCACTGGGGATCAAGCCTGCAACCCAGGCATGTGCCCTTGACCGGAATTGAACTTGGGTCAATTCAGTCCACAGGCCAATGCTCAATCCACTGAGCCAAACCGGCCAGGGCAAATAAAATTTTAATGCATTTTTTTATTGATTTAGAGAGAGAGGAAGGGAACGGAATAGAGAGAAACATTGACAAGAGAGAAACATCAATTGGCTGCCTCCCGCATGCTCCCCACCTGGGGTCGAGCCCACAACCCAGGCATGTGCCCTGACCAGGAATCAACCAGTGACCTCTTGGTTCATGGGTCGCACTCAACCACTGAGCCACACTGGCTGGGCAATTTCAAAAAAAAATTTTATTAAAGAAATCTATTTAACACATATTTAGCCTCCACTTACTACATTTAGATTCTCAATTAAATCAGAGCACAGCATAACATAGGGAAAGAATTTGAACTAATTCTTAAACTCCAATCCAGTGTGATCTTGGAAATTGTCTAAACACAAAGATGTTTCCTCATCTTTCAAAGGGTGAGGCGTCCCCGGATTTGAGATGTTTGTGAAGCTCCAGGACAGCACCTGGCACCGGGAGCCTGAAGAAGGTTGTGGGAAATCCGAATGGAATGAGGCAGAGAGCCTCATACTTGAGGTTTTATTCAGGAGAGGGTGATGTAGGGCCAGTGTTGCAGGATTTTAAATATGCGGAACATGTATAGCATTGGGCATAAGAATATTCCCGTTTCTCCCTGAATAGGAAATGAGTTTCTCTGCTAGGCACCCGGTCCTGGAACAGCACCTGACTATCGCGGGTATCAATAACTGACTAATGCAGAATGGGATCTGGGTGACGGGAAGAGGTTGTCTTGCAGTGGTTCTCAACCTTCCTGATGCCGCGACCCTTTAATACAGTTCCTCATGTTGTGGTGGCCCCCAATTTCATTGTTACAAATTGATCATAATTAAAGCATAGTGATTAATCACAAAAACAATATGTGATTATATATGTGTTTTCCGATGGTCTTAGGCGACCCCTGAGAAAGGGTCGTTCGACCCCCAAGTTGAGAATCGCTGTAGAGAAATAAAAAGAACCAGCGCCCGGTGATTTTCAGGTCGCTCTTATAACGCCCCCCCTCCCCCACAAGCACCCCTGGGGGAACTACAAGTCCCACAAGACCCCGCCTCAAGGGGAGGCGGGGCGCAGGCGAGGGCGGCACCGGCTGTTCCTCTTTCTTGAAGCGTGATTGGCTCGCGGCTCTGGAAGGCGACCAATGAGCGCACTCGGGAAAAGCGGCGAGGCCAATATGGCTTCCTGCACCTGGTGACGGTTGTGGGAACTGTTGGGTCTCATGGAGAAGCCGCGCGGCGTTGAGGTGAGTGGGGAGAGGACTTTGGCGGGAGGGAAAGGGAACCCCGAGAGCCCAGCTCGGGGGACGCTACTGCGGGCCTTTCAGCGACGCCTTGCGGTGCTGGGTGGGAGGATGGATAAACAGGCTGAGCAGGGCCAGAGGGGTCGGTGCTGCCTTCTGGTCCGAGGTGGCTGGGGTCGGCGTCTGGCGAGCAGTTCCGGGAGGAACCGCCTCCCTGGCCTCGGGAAGGGGAACTGGGTTGGGGGTCTGAGAGCTCCCGAATCCTCGTCGTCCCTCCTGTCGCGCGGCCCCGTTCTTTAGGGCTTGCGAGGCCTGTCACATCCCGGGTGACGTGACGGGAGATGAAGGCAGAATAAACATTCCGTGTCTAGGCTGCCCACGTGCGCCGTCTCCCGGGACACGCACCACCGTCCTGGTTACTGTTTCGCTTTTACGGTTCTAGTAGCTGCGGCTTCGGTAGCGAGACTCCAGGAAGTTCACGCCGCCGGGAGGCGGAGGAGGCCGGCGCCACGCCCGGCCGGCCCCCAAATCCACCTGTTAGGTCCCCGCTCTGCCGACCTGTGCCCCACTCACTCGTTCATCATTGGCTTCCGGTCACCTTGTGTTTTGTGTGTTGTTTTTGTTTTTGTTTTTGGAGACAAGAAGGGAGAGGGAGAGAAACATCCATCGGCTGCCTCCTGCGCGCCCCCTACTGGGCATTTGGGGATCGACCCCGCACCCCCGGCCGGTGCCCCGACGGAGATCCCAACTGGCCACCTCCCGGGACGACGCCCAGCTAACTCAGCCTCCACGGCCGGGGCCTTGTCACCCTGTATTTGAATTCAGTTTCCTTTCTAGCACATTTGCATGTGTAGTTGGAAATATAAAGTGGAATCGCCCTTGAACCAGGGGGTCACGGTTGGATTCCGGGTCAGGGCACACGCCTGGCTTGGGGGCTCCATCCCCAGTAGGAGGCGTGCAGGAGGCAGCCAGTTGATTCTCTCTCATCACTAATGTTTCTCTCTCTCTTCTCCCTCTCCCTTCCTCTCTCTGAAATCAATTGGGGGAAAAAATATATATATATATACACACATACTTTATTTTTTATTTTATTATTTTTTTTTAAGAATAATAGCTCACACTTTGAGAGCTGTCATTAAGTCCTGGAAACAGATCTAGGCTTTACATATCTCAGTCTTCATAACAGTCTTCTAAAGGAGGCCTGCTTTTCTCTCCGGTGCACTAGTGAAGAAACAGAGAGCGGCAAGGGTGACTGTCTTGCACCAAAGCACACAAAAGTGGCAGAGCCAGGATTCAAACCTGGGCAAATCTGATTTGAAATGCCATGCTTTTAACCAGTAAAAATTGCCAATATTTATTGAATACTTACTATGTGCAGGTCACTGTTCCCAGTGCTTTACATGTATTAATCCTTACCTTTCCCCCAAAGCCTATGAAATAGGTGGTATTGTGCTCATTTACAGATGGGGAAACTGAGACACTGAAAGACTGACTTACTGCAGAGCATACAGCTGGTAAAAACTAGCGATGGGCCCTGGCCAGTGTACTCAGCGATGCAGCGGTTCTCAACCTGTGGGTTGGGACCCCTTTGGCGGTCGAACGACCCTTTCACAGGGGTCGCCTAAGACCATCCTGCATATCAGATATTTACATTACAATTCATAACAGTAGCAACATTACAGTTATGAAGTAGCAACGAAAATAATTTTATGGTTGGGTCACAACATGAGGAACTGTATTTAAAGGGCCAGAAGGTTGAGAACCACTGGATTAGAGCATCACACTGCGAAGGGAAGGGTTGCTCGCTCCCACCCTGCTCGCTCCCACCCGGGTCGGTGGAGGTGTGTGGGGAAGGCAACCAATAGATATGTCTCTCTCACAATGATGTTTCTCTTTCTCCTCCTCCTCCTCCCTCCCTCCCTTCCACACTCTCTCTAAAAAGCAATGGAAAAAATATCCTCAGGTGAGGATTAACAACAACAACAAAACTAGAGATGGTATTTGAGCCCTGACCTAGAGTCCAAATTCTTCACACCTTTTCTACTACACGCCAGGTAGATTCATATACACTATCTCATTTACATCTCACATCCTGTGAGCCAAGTTTTTTATTTATTTTATAGATAGGAAAATTGAGTCCCAGAGGTTAAATGCCTTGCCCCAGAGCCTCAGCTAGTTAGGATCAGAGCTAAGTCCCAAGTTGTGGTACATTCCACTGTGCTATAGCTAGTGTGTCTTCTGCCTTCCAAATCCTTCTTATGGCCGTCTGGGTCCCAAATTAACTTTTCTCTGACTTAAGTTGTTTTTGAGTTGAGGTTATTTTGATGTACATATGCTGAAGGGGGAAGAGTACATTTCTCCTGAGTTCAGTTCCAGGCCACCGCGACAAAGACAGTCGTAATCTTTTTGCTGGTGGAGAGTCTTGCCTTCAGTTTGTGAAAATTGCAACCTCTGTGAAGTGCAATAAAATGAGGTGTGCCTGTACAGGTTTCCCTCAGGATCCGTGGGGGATTGGTTGCAGGAACCCCCACAGACACCGAAATCTGCAGATGCGCAAGTCCCTTATATAAAATATCATAGTATTTGCAAATAACCTATGCACATCCTCCCATATACCTTAAATCATCTCCTGATTACTTATAATACCTAATACAATATAAATGCTATGTAAACAGTTGTTATTCTGTATCACTTAAGGAATAATGAAAATTGTCTTTGTGTGTTCAGTACAGATGCGACCACAGGCCTAACTATATGGTACGTGTCAGCAACACTAACGTTGTGTTGATGTTTTTTACGGGAATGTGGAACCCACGGATATGGAGGGCTGGCTGTATATTTCTCTCCCAGAAAGTCTTCATGAGGCACCTCACTTAGGATATTTCATATCATTGTAGTCTATTGAGTCACGTAAAATACCATCACTTACAAATCCACAGAAGGAGCTTGCTTAATTCCTAAAACATGTTTTTTTCTGTTTTAAGCTGTTCTGTTGAATTGTGCGTGCAAAGTGTATGAACAAGAGTGACGCTTCTGGTGTTCCCAAAGGGGTGTTTGATTCTGCCTGCCATTTTGCCCAAAAATGTTGACTGACCAAAAACTGGAAAGGGAGCAGCTAGCGATCTGCAGCTGCCCTCCCTGTACACGAAGCCAACCAGGATTCCTGCCTGCTTTGTGTCCTTTCTTGCACTAGGAGATTCCTTCTTCAGAACCCATGGAGGAAGAAGAGGAAGATGACGACTTGGAGCTCTTTGGTGGCTATGACAGCTTCCGGGGTTACAACAGCAGTGCGGGCAGCGAGAGCAGCTCCTATCTAGAGGAGTCCAGTGAAGCAGAAAATGAAGAGAGGGAAGCAGGGGAGCTGCCCACCTCCCCCCTGCATTTGCTCAGCCCTGGGACTCCTCGCTCCTTGGACGGCAGTGGTTCCGAGCCAGGTGCCTTCAGAGTGTCCCCGAAGATGGGAGGTTTCAGGAGGCTGTGGCGGAAGAGGGGGGATATAGGCCATGTGGACAGAGTTGTCAGGTGTAAAGGGCTGTTTGGTCTTAAGTATGAGGGATCAGATGTGTAAGGACCTGTGAGAGAGACAGAAGCACCCCAAGTATCCCCAAAGGTCATTTCCCCTGGTGCAGTCTGATTTCAAATTGTGATTTCACTCCTTTCATACAACTGGTTTTATTCAGCACATATTAGGTGCTAGTCATTAACATGGCACCGCTTTTACATTTGTGTGAATAGCTGGTGTATTTTTTAAAAATGTCTTTTTTTTAATTAATTTCAGAGAGGAAGGGAGAAGGGAAAGAGAGATAGAAACATCAATGATGAAAGAGAATCATTGATTGGCTGCCTCCTGCATGCCCCCTACTGGGGATTGAGCCCACAACCCAGGCATGTGCCCTTGACCAGAATCGAACCCAGGACCCTTCAGTCCACATGCCAATGCTCTGTCCACTGAGCCAGGGTAGCTGATGGATTTTTTTAAAAAATATATTTTTATTGATTTCAGAGAGGAAGGGAGAGGGAGAGATAGATAGAAACATCAATGATGAGAGAGAATCACTGATTGGCTGCCTCCTGAGGATTGAGCCCACAACCCATGCATGTGCCCTTGACCGGGTTCGAACCTGGGACCCTTCAGTCCACAGGCTGACGCTCCATCCACTGAGCCAAACCAGCGAGGGCAGCTGGTGGATTTTTAAGCGTGGATGTTGAGAAGGTAGGATACCTAAAGTGTTCTGATTATTATCCAGGAAGCAACAAGAAATAGCTTATGGTTTGGAAATGACAGTGAGGGGAATAGAGAATAAGTGACCCCTGGGTCAGAGGAGTAGGTGGTTGGGCAGATAAGAATCCCCAGGGAGCATATGGAAGCCAGTTGGCTTCAGCGATGTGATGCTTGGACAGCTGCTGGACCCATGTCGGGGTCTCCACATGTCACTGCCTGTGAAGAGCGGCAGGTTAGGCGGTCTGTGAGGACACTCTGTTCCTTGGTGCCCAGACTCTTCAGAACAATTACTTGAGACTCTCTGCCACTTGAATCTTACTTCCTTTCTATTCACCCTGTGCTCTCTGCCTTCGTGTGTCTGTCTCCCTTCTGTCTTCTAGTTGTTCTCTTAGAATCTCAGAACTTTAGGAATAGAAAGACCCGAGAGAGACCATCGAGCCCAGGGTTCTCTAGCTCTGGCTTGGGCATTTTTAAGAGCCCCCAAGTGATTCTAATGTGAAGCCGGGGTTGAAACACTGATCTAGTTCAGTCTCTTTATAGATGAGAAAAAAATAGACTCAGAAGTTAAATGATTTGGGCACTTTTTTCTACTTTTTTCCTCTGCAAACTTTCCAACACATGTTTCTTCGTGGATTTTTCTTAGCCCCACTATTGACACATAGCCAAGGGATGCCAAGCAGCTTATCTTAGGTGAAGTAGATTCAGGATTTACCTGGTTAATGCAGTGCCAGGTTTTGAAGGGCCTATCGTTCTGTTTGATTTGGGGTCACATATCAGGTGAGTCATGTGCTAAGTTCTCTTCCCAGCTGTCTGTGAGATGTGTGGTATCGTGGGTACAAGGGAAGCCTTCTTCTCCAAGACCAAGAGGTTCTGCAGCGTCTCCTGTTCCAGGAGCTACTCCTCCAACTCCAAGAAAGCCAGTATCTTGGCTAGATTACAGGTGAGAGGCAGTCACTTGGGAAGACCCTTCCTGGGGCCCAGGGTGCTGAGACAGGAACAGCCAACTAACTGATGGCAAGGGGCCAAGAGGGCTTGGGAGGACCTTGCCTGTATCCATCCCAGGATGTAAGTTGCCTGGTATTTATTATGATCTCAAACTTTAGGGGGCAGAGGAATCTATTTATGGAGCTTATTAACTTGCAGATTCCTGGAGCTGCATTCACTTCATTCCCCACTCTGGGGAGGTTCAATAAGTTTTAAAAATGCCCTTGGTCTTTGCACCACATTTTTATAAATGTTCTGAAAGGAAGCTGGGGACCAGCCACAGGCTCATCAGCCCAGTGGGTTTAGATGGTTGATGCCTCATCTCTGACTCCATGTCATAGCCACCCAGAAAGTCTTACCAATCTCTAGTTAATTACTGACATTCATAGCAGTTTCAGACATGGAGAGATTCTGATGTGCTGTCCGACCCGTATGCTAACTGGGACGTGTGCTGAAGTCCAGAGGAAGAAGGACTTACTAGGGTGGCTCTGGGCTGAGGCAGCAGAGCGAGGCTGGAAGCTAATCTCAGGTGCAGGCCTTGTGTTGTTTATGGTGACTGGCTGCCGTCCACAACGCCTGTTCTCAAACTTGACTGCATGTTGAGCTCACCTAGAAGGTTTTAAAAATATTGACGCTTGGGTCTTGCTCCCAAAGAGCCTGACTTAATTGGGATGAAGTGTGGCCTGGACACAGGGGCTTCAAAGAGCTCCTCAGGTGAACCTACTGTGCAGGCAGGCTTGGGCCCTGCTCTGATGTGTAGTGAGTCAGGGAGCCAGTTCTGCTCAGTGCTTCCTACACTCGCCCACCTTCACGAGACCATTACTGTTGTTGCCCTCATTTTGTGGATTGTAGTCAAGGCATGGAAAATCCTTCCTGCGTGAGCTGGTAATATTGTGAATAGCTGCAATTTGGAGGTACTTACTAAGGGCTGGCACTCTCAGTGTAACCAGTGATCTCTAAAAAAATAATTTTTAAAAAGTCCTTTTAAAGGGCCAAAAATTTTTAGTAACTTGCTGAAAGGTACACAGATACACTTGATCTTAGCCAAAAGGCCGAGAAGCGATGAAAAGCACACAAGTAAAATTGAGCCAGGATTTGACCCCAGGTCTGTGTGGGTTCTAAACTCACATTTCTACTACACTGATCTCTAGCAAATTCTCTGGGCCTCTGAGCAGTGCTTAGGTTACAAATTACAGAATGGATCGGCGTCTGAGCCCTGATGGAAGCGGAACCTCCATGTATATACAAAATGTCTCCCGGTTCCGTTCACAGATCCCCTGAAGCCCATTCTCTGCCATAAATCTGTAGAAGCGCAGGAGCAAGTAATGGCTGAGAGTTCAAGCCACTAGGAAAAGGTTGCTGGAGGAAGCAAAAGTTTAAAAGATGGGACAGGTGTCCCTCTCTGCCTTACTGCTCAGCCATCTGTCCCGTCCCTCCCCAGTGAACAAGAGTTAAGAAGCCCTTCTCCCATCCTTGCAACCCTTATTGTTATTAGCATCACCTTGATTTACAAATACTAGGAACTGACCCATGTTAAGATTTAAACCTAGGCAGTCTAAGTCTAGAGCTATATTCTTAGCCAATATTTTCCACACATCCTCTCTGCCCTTCAGGGAAAACCACCTACCAAGAAAGCCAAAGTCCTGCACAAAGCAGCCTGGTCTGCCAAAATTGGAGCCTTTCTGCATTCCCAAGGGACGGGACAGCTAGCAGATGGGACACCAACAGGGCAAGACGGTAAGCGGGCAGAGGACTGTGCAGGGAGCTGC